ATGAGGAAAGCTATTATCTTCATCTTTTCTACTTGAGGATCCCAAATTACTTTATGCTGCAATACCTTGAGCCTTGGAGAAAGTTTGTGGTCTTGAAAGGAGCTACCAATCAGCCAAATATAACTGTTCAGGTTCATAATGGCTATATGGCTAGCAAGGGACTGAGCAGATGGTAAAACCTGGCTGAAATAGGAACAGTATGATTGGAAAGGCCACTGGCCACTTTCTGAGAGTGAGATGATGGAAAAACATCCAGAACACAGGAACATCAGGTAGCTGAGCCCATGAGTGATTTTGGGAGACAATCAAGAGAACCATACCCAACCAGGGCAAGAATAGAACTGACAGTATTGGAGTGCAATCAAACTGAGGCAAAAAAGCCCACAAAAGAAAATTCAGATTACATCACAGGTAATTTCTTCTGATTTGCTTCATTGAAAAGTTTACTTAGCATTTCATGTGGAAATCAAGAGTTTACATTCATTATACTCCTCTGTGGTTTTAGCAATGTAACCCCAGAACTCTGACAGCCATTTTAAAGAAAAAATAGGAAACTTCATGGAAGCCAGAAGTTCTGCTATCCATATGGCTGGAGTAACCCATTTCAGATGTGTATACAAGAAACATGCACAAAAAAATAAAATAACACTTTCAAGTTAAAATTTTGCTGTCTTCTGTGCCCTGCTGCTTTTTCTATCTAGAAAACAGTTGTATAGATCAAGGCCTCTCTTTTTCCTCTAATGAGAACTATCCTTGTGTGCTGCCCGTGGGAGAGAGGATGAAGGCAAGGAGAGCTAAAGGCAAAGGTGTGTGGCGAAAGAAGGCATTATCAACTGAAGGGTGCCAGCAGATAAGAAGAGGAAGGGAGGAACAGCTCATGGAGCTCATAGTTTGGCAGTGCTGCACAGGGCACGGCTCCAGGGGAGGGACCAGGTAAGCACACACAGGCTGTGGCCAGGACAGCTGGGTTGGGAAGTAGCCACAAACTCCTGCAACTGGTGAGAGAAGGTGACAGACTCCCCTGGCAGGGATGGCACTCCCCTGTTTTTAATTTTTTCTCACTTTGCCTCTTGAATTTTTCGAAGCACTATGTCATCATTACTCACACCCGATTCATTCCTACCCTGGAAGTGACTCTACAGATTTCACTTCAGATGTTAACTGTTTGGACACAAATGTGTCATACAGAACACTGAAAGGTAAAATTGTGACCTGAAAGAGGCGGGATAAATATTTTGTACATCAAAGAGTTTCCTGTGTATAAGTTTTATTGAGGAAGGCTGTGTGGCAACATCACGACACGACTAAGACCAGGCCCTTGGGTGCTGGCTAGCACTGTTTATTATCCTGCTTGGGCTTTCAGAGGAAGAGAGATCCTACAGCAGCTATTCAGAAGATAAACAACCAAGTCCATAAACAGTAGTTCTCAGGTGGCACCCAGATCTGGATCAGGAACTGCCTGTCAGCATCTGTGCCCAGAGGACCTAGCACAGTGGGGCTTCAACAGAATTCCTCCTCCTTCCTGAATGGCTGAAAATATTGGACCCCACGGGCTCTGCTGGCTTCCTGCTCCCTTCCACATTCCACATAAGAATAGGAATCGTCCTGAGAGAAAATTAGTTATGTAGGCTGCTATTGCTGCCCTTCAGAGAAGAGAAACAAGCTAAGAAGCCACATAGAAGCTAAAATTAAAACTCAGGAGTTTCTGGCTGGGTGCCCTCTGGAGCTTGGATCACTCATTCTGATTAGGAAGAAAAACATTTAATATACATTTAAATATTTTTGGCAAGAAGAGGGAAAAAATATGCTATATGATGAATATGGTTTTAATTACACTTTGAAAGTTTGGCTAGAGTGGAACAGTAGCAGCAAAATAGTTTGCTGTTTAAGCTATTCCCCTCACAAACTTCAAATAAGGCTTTTCTCTTTAGCTAAATATTAAGATGACATTTCACTACAAGATAAATCAACTCCCGAAGCTGCTCTCTCTTTACTAAGAAAACTTTTGACTTGCACATTAAAACAATGATGGGTAAAAATAATCTTGATCAGTCAGTCATGGATCCTCTCCTCCTGTTTATTCAGATGTCAGCCCAGTATCTTTTCCTTTCCTCATTACAACCATCACTTTAATGCAGGACCTCTTTAATGGTGACTGATAAACGGGAACAGAAAAAGAAAAGGCACTTTTCCAAGGAATTATTGCACAGCACTAGCACTGCAGCAAGCAGTCAGTGTTATAATGTGTGCCGCAAAAGCCATATAGCTGAAATTATTTGCAGATTTCTGTTTTCAATTCCAATTTCACGTAATTGAGGTGTCCCATTTGTGGTATGAGTCTAAAGAAGAAATATTTCTCTTCCTTTTGTTTAAAAATTATTTATCTCTCAGACTGGAAGTGTTTTGTTGCTATCAGAGTTCCTGCTGTTCTTTAATCAATGGATGTCATGGATAACAGGCTGGACAGAACTCTAGAATACCATTTATTCTGGTGAAGGTCTCTTAACTTTAGAAAAAGAACTGGCAAAACAGGCTTCCAAATACTGGACTTGGACTGTTCCTATTTGGTCAGGATATGAGCAGTTTTCCCTTTTTATTTTCATTCTCACCCTGGGGGTTGGGTTTCTTAGTCATTCTTTTATACATGCAGCATGAAAAACATGTTACTTACCAAATCACTCTGACTCACTAAGTCCCGTCAGTTCAAGGCCTCATCTATTTTACATCTGACCAATCTCACTGGAGTCCTATTTCATGGCATAGCTAAAAGCTCCTCTTTCATTACAAGTCACGACCATGGCAACAATCCAGTTGCATGATTTGGCAGACTGGATCTCCTGATAAAATTAACATGATGTTATAGCTATGAGTACATATTTGCATCTCCAAAGCAGAGAAAATAATGTACAAGGTAAATATTAATGTTGCTGCATGCACTGTACAGCAAAGACCAAAGTACTGAACACAGAATTTGCTTTACCTTTCCACAGACATCTAGTTTAAAAACTTGGAGCACCAAGGTAATCTTTAATACATCCACCATTTCTGGGCAAAACTTTAATATATTACACTGCCATTCTACTAAATTAGTATTCTGAACCTAGGCAAACACTTCTTCTACAACCTTTATTCAAAAGTTTTCCATCAAAATCCTGTTGGTGGTGGGCAGCTAATTATCTTTCTAAGGAGATTAGTGTTCTTTAATAAATCCAAAGATTTTTTTTCACATAAAATTGAAACAGCCATATCGAGCCTGGTACTTGGGAAACATACTTGATTAAACAGGAATCTTTTGTTAGTGTCGCTTTCATGGAATCATAGGACTATGGAATGTTTTGAGAGGATTGGGACTTTTGAAGGTAGAATCATAGAGCTGTCAAGCTTAGAAAAGACCTTTAAGACCATCAAGTGCAACCATCAGCCTAGTACCGTCATAATGTTCACCATTAAATAAAGTCCTCAAATGTCACAACCACACATTATTAAACACATCAGGGATGGTGACTCCACCACTTCCCTGGGTAGGCTGTTCCAGTGCTTTACAAACCTCTCCATGAAACGTGCTTTTCTAATACCTGATCTAAACCTCTCCAGGTCATCTAGTCCAGCATCTTCAGCAGGACATCTCCAGCTTTCTGATCTGACCCTGCAACCAGGGTATCAGGACACACTAAATCAGAAGTCCTCTTCTGAATGGAGCTTGTGCTTCCCTTCACCATTGCCTCATGGCTCTGGTCCTCACATCACATCAGCGACCCTCCCTTCCACATCCAGATGAGGCACAGTGGTCACAAACTTCACCCTGGACCCTGAAGGTCAATATTAGAGAAGACCTCGGTATAGAGCAGGGAACTCAAGAAAACTGATGAATCTGTTGCAGTGCCACGGGACTGGACTCATCTCACAAACTCCTGATGAGGTTGCTGGTGGAGCTAGCTGTGCTATGAAAAGTGGACACACATCTCAGATGGGGTGCTGCTGAAGTTGTTGCTTTGGCTGCTCCAGTAGAGCCTCCTACATCACCACTGAATGCAAAGCACCCCACCAGGGAATGTAAAAACTTCCACACCCACCAGGCCCAGCACTCAGTGTAGGTCTGTAGAGAAGAGCCATATGCCTGTGAGACCTGACACCGAGTCAACAGTTCAGGCCCTATTATCCTCCCTCCCCTGCGGCAAGTGAAGAAAATCCCCCCTGTTGAGATGCCACTGTTGCTTTGCCCTTCTCACAGGGGAGAAACCACTGACAAGATCATTCCTTTTGTGGAGGAGATCCCAGTGTGCCCAGAGAAGGGGATGCCCTGGCTAGGGGAGAACACTGCTTGTAAGGTTCTACCTTGCATGCAAAAGGTTTGCTGTTAGTTTGTAGACAGTTTCAGCCCCCTCCCCCAAATATTTTCCTGAGCAATACCCAACCTTCCTGCCCACCCTCTGTAAAGCTGTTCCTGCTCAGAGGCAGGGATAACTGAGACTCCTCTCAAAGACTGTCCTAACTTTACTCTGCTGTTGCCAAGACAAGATAAAAATACCTGAAATTCAAAACATTAAATCAGGCCTAAACTTCAACCATACTTGTTTTAAAACATTTCTAGAAAAAAAAGACAAGTAGAAGAAGCATGCAGTATTTGTCAGCATAAACTGAAATAAGCACTGAAAAGAGAATTGTGGAAAAATACGTTGTACTTGCTGTGGTTTAGGCCACATCCTGTTTTAATTCAACACATCTAAAACAATGCCACTAAATCCACTTTGCATTTACCCCAAATAACTGAACAAATGAAAACCTGGAATGAAATTGAACTAGATTTTAAATTCATTTTTAGGCTTAGTAGCACAGATGAAGGTATAATCCTGAAAACTGCTTCCTCTTCCTTCATGCCACCCTGCATTTTAAGCATACCCAGACAATGAAATTATTGCAGAGCTGGGCAGTTCCTTAGTTACAGAAACATAGTGTTGAAAGGCATCAATTTGTGCTTTGATTCTTCAGGGGTTACTTACTTACTTCAGTAGCAGTCTGAGTTGTAGCAGTTGTTTTTTCTCTGGAGAGCTCCTTGCAGCCCTCAGATCCATCAGGTGATATTGCTCTGGCTAGTGAGCAAGTACTGCCCCACGGTTTTCTCCAAAAAGGTTGCTCAGCTTCCCACTGCCTGCCAAGACCTGAATAAAGCAATTACTTTAGTGAGCTTCTGTTCATGCTGTAAAACCTCTACATCTTCCTGACTTCCAGAGTCTATAAAAAATCCTACTGGAAGCAAAACTTCCCCAACTGTTAAATCCTTCCCTTCAGAGGAAGGAGTATGGTGGTGTCCACTAAATTTACTTTGATTATATCTATAGTTGAAGTGAACTCAGTTTTTTTTCTTGCCATATTTTCAGGAAGCATCTAGGAATAAGTGTATCTTTTTTAGGAACAAGAACCTAAAAATCTACAAATAGTTATTTAGACCTGTTTATTCCCTGAGAAACAGATACTTTCATGACTGTTTGAAGGACCATTTTACTTTTTTTTTTGTTTTGTTTTCATTCTAAAATGACAATACTGGGACATATACAATTAATCCATTGCTGTATCAAGAACTCCAAGGTGACAAACAAACACAGAAGATACAACATCAAGTGATACTGTGATACTAGATGACTGTCCAAGGTGACAAACAAACACAGAAGATACAACATCAAGTGATACTAGATGACTAAGCACAATGGATTTCTGCAAAAGCTGATGTCTAACATGGCATGTAGGTATACTTTCATGATTTGATGTCCTCAAACCTATCCTAGGATTAATCCATAGGTATGCCACTGACTGAAGAAAATTCCTGAAGCCCCAAAGCAGAACGCTTCAACCAGGCTCTTCCCTCCAGCACATTCCCAGGATAACTGGACTCTGCAGGTCAGCTCTGAGCCATCCCCAAGATATACACAATGCTCACAAAAGCCAAACCAAGATTTTTCTCCCTGTGTGTTTAGCACTTAGCTTCTTATATTAGTTTAGTGGTTAGAGTACTTACAGCTAGCATGGAAGATCATGTTTCAGGCCCTTAAAATGGAATTTAACCCAGTGGTCTGTAATTCTGTATAACACAGGCTGCTGGGTAAATCTCTATTAAGTAAACTGTTTAAATAACTTCATATACTTTAGTATAAATAACTACAACCGTTAAAGCGAAGAAATGAACCACACTCAGTGACAATGCAGCTGAGTGAGAGAGGAAGTAATTCTCTCTCTGACTTGATAAATATTTGGTTACAAGAGACTGGAAGAGGCCTCTCACAGAGCATGCAGGAATCCAGTAACGGGAACATTCCCCTGGGATGTGTGTCACTTCATGACTAAGCAGCATGTGCTTGTTCTAGCTAACGACTGGCATTACCTCTTCAATGACTCTCCGGATTTAAAGATCACATCTTTTAAATAAAGAAAAATTTTCACAGTGTGGTAGGGAAAGAACTCCAGAAGAGAATGATGACAGAGGAGGATTACAACCTTAAGTATTACACAGGACTTGAACAGTCCTTATCATACTGGAAATCACAGCTGTTCCCTCCTGATTGCACAGCCAACTCAAATATAGTGACTTGGAAAATCAGCAATCCTTCCAAAAGAGTTTTTTAATGCAAGGGCAAGACTAAATACCTACTTACTGGTGGAGGGACTCAACGGTCCAAATTGAAACTGAAAAAAAATATGTAGTGACTGATTAAAAGGAACATGTTTCTTAATAGTCACCAAGATACAAATGGGAAACTGAATCCTTGACAGAGAGGGGGTGGAGGTGAAGTCTTCAAAAATAAAACTCACTAGAATCCGACAGTGTTTGAATTTGAGCAGAGGAAACTAGCAAAGATGGTCTAAAAACACAGAAGTTTTCCTTTCTCCTGCCATGTTGGAGATAAACTCTTGAAACAATTAATTCTTCCTCTGGAAAATATCAAAATCAGTTTCACCCAAGTTTAGTTCTTCTAAATCATGGTGTTTTCAGTACGATCTCTAGGTCACAGATCAAGGAGAAAATGATGTACCACATAAAGGCATGTTTGACCCAGACCTTTTGATCACTGATTTTTATCAAATGACCTGTGGGTGAATTTGATCACAAGGCATCCGAAATGGCACTAGCACAATGTAAACAACTTTCTGTAAACAAACACACACAGATACAAATAAACATGAGGGGTAGGGGGAATACTAGCAGGTTAGAGGTATTTTTAATTTGGTTGTAAAGGAAGGACCCATCCATTCCAGCAACATTACACAAAAGCTCTATCCCACCAGGGTGAGATCTGACATGACTCAGCGTTCCCTGGGCTGTTCCTTCCATGTGGGACAGCCAGGCAGGAGCTGCTGTACACACTGTTCAGTTTCCCACTTGGCATGAATGAAGAAACAGGACGGACGTAGAGTGCAAGCATATCATCGTGTGTATTCATTCCTTAAAGTAAACTCAGCCCAAGCCTTCCTTGGACAGAATCAGGGTTAGGGATTATGCCAGGGCTGACTGCCCAGTCAAATAAATAACATTTACAAAGCTCGACTTTGCACTTCAGTGAGTGCAGAGATGACCAGAACTAAGAACTCAGGTCCCAAAATACTTCTAAAATTGCATAATCACTCCTTCTAACGGGATAACTAGACCTAACTGAAACTTTCTTAATTTAATCCACTGTTTTGAAAGCAAACAATACTGGCACCAAAGAAGAAATATTACTGATCCAGTGTTTAATTCCTTTAGCAGGGCAGTTCCACCTCAGGATCCTGGCTGAATTATGACACTTACCAGGGTACTGCAGTAACACGGTATGTGGTTGCTTTTAGCTTATCAAAAGGAGACAGAATGATTTAGCTTAAACCTTTTTCCTGGAGGTTCATGCTAACACATTTTACCTTACACTTCCTATAGTCCAACAGCACATATGCAGTGGCAGTTACCACAACACAGCTGACACACAGGAACTCTGAGCAAAGAAATTCAAATGCGTTGCCTTTGCTCAGATCTCTGAACTCTGGTGTCTTACAAAGAGCACTTCTCAGAAGAGTTAATACAATTATTTTCACTAAAAATATTCTTTTTTTTATCCTCTCCTCCTCCCTCCTTTTTTTTTTTTTTAATTGAAATGGTGAAATAAAACTTCATAAAGGAAGTACTCATCCACTGCAAATTGTTGCATGGTCATTATAGCCTTATCATAATGCTTTAGCATTGAGTTTATACATCTGTGCCTGTGAAAGCATTCTGTTAATTATGGGAAAAGGGAGTGATTCTCAACAGACCTGAACTTTGGCAGCTAATTCACTATTTTACTAGCATATATTGAAAGGACTTCTTTTATAATTTAGCTTCAGCAGTATCTCAGTACTATCACTGAGAAGTGAAGTCGCAGAACAAGGGAAGACTTCAACCAATGTCAAGGTCTTCCCACATGCAAGAAGCTAACTCTTCTGCTTCAAAGCCTAAAAATTTTAAGCAATAATTTCACTGATATCAAAGATGACCTCATGATAAAATACCATCAGATTGGGAACAGGTCCAAAGCGTTCCTCAGAACTCATTAGACAGGACATATATGTCACTTCTCAGTAAGGCACTAAGAAAGAACATGCAGTACCCAGAATGTGCAGTACCCAAATATAGGCTTCATAACATTGACTTTTGGATTCAACTTCCCCATTAGCATCTCCATCTTCCTTTCTTAAAGGAGGATCACCACTTGCCCATGGTTACATGACAAATGAGAAGTCACAATGAACCACTGCATCACATTTCCACATTCACCATTCAACCACAGTTCACATTCCACAAATGCACCCAGACTAGAAGTGCCCAAAAGTTGCTGTGGAAGATAACATGACTTTTGCTTGTCTAAAAATCAAGATTATTGGTGCCCTTAAGAGCTGCAGAATCAAAGATTGCTGCAACTCTTCAACAATATCGAAGGCTGAGCTCCCGGGCCTGGGATAACAGCCCTGCACTTCAAGGGTTGATCCATCTCAGCAGCTCTGAGATTGACCAAAAAATTGTCCCACCATGGCTGTTCTCTAAGGTGTCCAACCATTTTTTTCTGGGAAGACAGCAGCTCATAATTCAAAATGAATGTTCTAATGCATGCTCCATTTTGGAGAGTGCTAAATTCTCCAGAAGAATGATGATAGGAATCTGCCAAACAGATTTCTGTGTTGAAGAAAAAAACAAAAATCTTTACAAAATATATATAATTTTGTATCTATCTATAATTTTGTATCTACCACTTTTTTTACTCCAGTGCATACAACCATATTTAAAGACACAGACATGCTATAAATATTAGACTCTCTGGGGGCAAAAGGAAATTCCAAGACATAAGGTTACATCACTTCCAATCATGAGTGAAGAATTGCTAATTAACGAAATGTTCTCCCTGAACAGGTAGCTTTCAAAGGTCCTATTTTCATACCCATAAATCAGATTTTGTTAGAAAGCAAACTGACAGGTGACAGTTGCAGCAAAATCCAACAATAGGGTTTTTTCCCCAAAATACATTCTTCCAAAGTCTGTGCAATGCCAGATGCTGGTCTCCTATTTTTCATTAAAACCAAATCACTCGGTATCCTCTAATAATTTTGTGCAGAACATGGAGAACTAAATTAAAGCTGAACAGAAATGTAAGCTTTCAGGATCTAAAGGACAAGCTGAGGTTATCACTTCAGATGCTTTAAAAGATGAATGTACAACTTAACCTGAACCAAACCTCAAAGTCACTGAAAGCCAAGGGAAGATAAAAAGAAAAATAAAAAGGCTTCAGTAATTACTTAGCACTGATATTGGAATAGCAGAGAAACAATGTGTACTTAGCTTAGAAGAAGCCTCCATAGCCCAGATTAAATAACCTGAAACTTAAAGTCCCCAAACTATGAAATATGTTATTACTTTACATTCTAGCTCATTCTTTTCATGTTACAGGCTAAATAGCAGTAACAACTGTGTTTTTATAACATAGATGTTCTTCAAATAAATACTAGCAAGAGGGAAGTCATAGCAAGGGAAGAAATAGTAAGGAGGGCAGGAAAGGGGGAAAAAAGAGGAAAAATTATTTTTCCACCCTACCACTAACCTAGAGACCTACAGAGCAACATAAACATGGGGTGGGAAATGAAGAGATGCAATTTCCTTTCTAAATCCATTAAATTCACCCCAATAATCTGTATGGACTCACATCCATCTCTGCAGACTTCTACTACTTCAAAATAGCATAATATTTCCTAAAAGAATTACCCAAGCTACTCATGAAAGGCCAGAGAATCCTGAGGCCTCACAAGCCTATTATTCACAGTAACAGCTAGAAAAACTTGTAAAGTACAACTGAAGATTTAAGTAGCACATGGGAATCCTTGCCAAAACTCCCTTCCTATCAGCTCACTGCCTCCCACTCCTTTCTCCTGCTGCAATCTTTACATCTGCACTGGGTTTATAGATGATCATTCCACAGATGATTAAAAATGACTTTGAGATTAGGTACCACCAGCAGCATGATCAAAACATCTGATCTGATGTTTTTGGCCCAACAAAGGCTCTGCCAGCAAGAGCTGCTCTAATCTCTTTACCTGGCTCAGGGGATTAGTTAATTAGTTAACTAACAAATCTGTTGGTGGAATAGTAATGGCAAAGAACTATTTCAAACTGCTCATTAGACATGAGCTCATGATCTCAGATGGTTGTGGCTGTAAGGTGGCATTACATAATTCCCCCTCAGTGTTGGCACTGGGGCTTTGGGTACACGTTAGGCAGACAGCACCTACCTCACTAGAATTCAGATATGTAAGTCATCACTAGTTCAGCTCTCCTGATATACCAATCAAAGAAGCCACAGATCAGCTAAGATTTAGCTTCTTTTTTTTTTTTTTTTTTTTTTTTTTTTTTTTTTTTTTTTTTGTGTCTAGAGCATCTGACTCAGAGCAGGACCAGTTAGTACAATCACAAAAAGAAGTTCAAATCTTGTCTCTGCAGCAGGTTCTCCATTCACTACCACTTGCAGAACCATTTCATTAAACCATAACTCAGTCATATTAGAGCAGGTACACCAGCAGAGAGGTCACTGACCCACAAGTAGAAAGAAACAGTGAACTCAGAGTCACTTGCATACTCACATTACCTGGCCATCTAAACTAAACCCCCATGCTCATTTCCTAGAAGAAGTAAAAACTGTACCCACAAACTCTCTGAGGCATCCAAATAACATTTTGGCTTCTGA